GGCAGCTGACTGTGCTGCCAGAGCACACCTGCATCTATCAGAGCTGCCGTCTCGATTGCCCAACTAAATGCAAACAACACTCAATAATGTGCAACATGGGTGGTGAAACTGACGTATGAATCACATCCAGCAGCCGTCCTGGGTGTAAGTTTCCGCAGTAGGCTTTCCCTTCTGTCCATTGTGTATATTCCGTGTCTGGCAACAGCTGTTTGGCGACCTATCGAAACACATGTTCTCGCCGCATTTGGCGCGCATATAATCACGGACCGAGAACCGAAACCAAACAGACCGCTGACAAAATGCCGGAGAGTGTGATTGCCGGTATACCGGTGCATTTTCCCTTCGAGCCGTACGATGTGCAGCGCGCCTACATGGAGAAGGTGATTATCTGCCTGCGGGACGGCACCAACGGCGTCCTCGAGTCGCCCACGGGGACCGGCAAGACGCTGAGTCTGCTCTGCGCCTCCCTAGCCTGGATACGCACGCGACAGTCGGAGCACCAGCAGCAGATGATTAAGCTAAAGGCGACCAGCAAGGACGGTGGCACCGGACCCGGCGGAGACCTCAGCGAGCTGGCCATGACCGTGGGCAAGGCGAACAATTGGGGCGTGCCGAAGGTGATCTACGCCTCGCGCACCCACTCCCAGCTGAACCAGGCCATGCGCGAGCTGAAGCGCACCGCCTACGCGAACATGCGATCCGTGGTGCTGGGATCGCGAGATCAACTGTGCATCCACCCGGAGGTGATGAAGGAGCAGGGAAACTCCAACAAGGTGAACCTCTGCAAGCTGCGCGTCCACTCCAAGACCTGCACCTTCCAGCTGCGCGTCGAGTCGAAGAAGGACCACCCGGACTTCCGTGGGCCCAGCATCATGGACATCGAGGATCTGGTGAGGGTCGGCCAGAAGCTGAAGATGTGCCCCTACTTTGCCTCCAAGGAGCTGGTCGCCCAGGCGGACATCACGTTTATGCCGTACAACTATCTGCTGGACCCGAAGGCGCGCAAGGCCAACAAGATTGAGCTGGGCAACACGATCGTCATACTGGACGAGGCGCATAACATCGAGAAGATCTGCGAGGAGTCCGCCTCGGTGCAGATACGCTCCTCCGACGTGGCCATGGCCATCGAGGATGTCACGCACATCATGAAGGTCTTCACCAGCGGTGAATCGCAAGACGCTGGCGCCGACGAGCCCAAAGACTTTACCCTTGACGATCTCACGCTGCTCAAGGAGATGCTGCTCGAGCTGGAGAAGGCCATCGATGCCGTGGTAGTCGATAATCCCACGGACGGCACCACCTATCCCGCCTCTCTAATGTACGAGCTGCTCGGCAAGGCGAACGTAAGTCCAAATACCACAATCCTCGATTGCTGATCCTCCTCCATTGATCCCTTACAGTTCACGTATGGCAACTGCGCCACCATTGTGGCACTGCTGGACAAGCTGGTGCAGTATCTGATGGTTGCCTCGCAGCACATGACCATCCGCAAGGGCGGCACCTTTACGCTGCTCAGCGATCTGCTGACCATTGTGTTCGCCAACAAGGAGAGCATCATGGGCAAGGTCCATCTCAGCTTCAAGGTGCACGTGCAGGTGGAGGAGTCCAACAAGCAGACGGGTGCCAAGGGTGGAGCAGCGCCCCAGGGCAAGCAGCAGGGCTGGCTGAGCAAAGGCAACATCACGACGACGGGAGCGAGCAGCAAGGCGGCAAAGATTGTCAATTTCTGGTGCTTCAATCCCGGCTTTGGCATGGAGCAGCTCCTCAACACCCAGGTGCGCAGCGTCATACTCACCAGCGGCACGCTGGCACCCCTTAAACCGCTGATCGCCGAACTGGCCATACCGGTGGCCCAACATCTGGAGAATCCTCACATAGTCGACCAGTCGCAGGTCTATGTGAAAATCATTGGCACCGGCCCGGACCGACAGCAGTTGATTTCGAATTTTAAGAATCGGTAAGACATTTCAATGGCATCTCCTTTAATGGCTCAGTCTGATTGGTTGTGTCTTTGGCAGAGACAATCCCAAGTATATCAGCTCGCTGGGGCAGACGATCTTGAATGTATCGCGCATCGTGCCGGATGGTCTGCTGGTGTTCTTTCCCTCCTATCCGATGCTGAACAAATGCGTGGACGCGTGGCAGGCCAGCGGCCTGTGGGCAGACATCTCCTGCAAGAAGCCCATTTTCCTGGAGCCCCGAGGCAAGGATCAGTTCACCAGCACCATGGAGGAGTTCTATCAGGCCATACGCGACTCCAAGGGTGCCGTTTTCATGGCCGTCTGTCGCGGCAAGGTGTCCGAGGGCCTGGACTTTGCCGATCGCAATGGACGGGCCGTCATCATCACGGGGCTGCCATTTCCTCCGCTCAAGGACCCAAAGGTGATACTGAAGCGGCGCTACCTGGAGGCGAATCGCACCAAGGAGAACCAACTGCTTAGTGGTCAGGAATGGTACAACTTGGATGCCACGCGAGCCGTCAATCAGGCCATTGGTCGCGTCATTCGTCACCGGAACGACTATGGGGCCATTCTGCTGTGCGACTCGCGCTTCCAAGACGCCTCCCAGGTGCAGCAGCTGTCCAAGTGGATACGTGGCCATCTGGGCGCACGGCCGCAGAGCTCACCCTTTGGCCCTATTGTGCGCGAGCTGCGGCAGTTCTTCAAGCATGCCGAGGAGACGGTGAGTTTTGAGATTTCATGCACTAATCCACTGATGCTTGATGCTTGATCCTTGATCTGCAGATGAAGCAGCCCGATGTGCGGGAGGAGGAGCAACCACTGACGAATGTCTGCAAGGTGGAAGAGGATGAACCGCTGCCTGTCATTCCAACAATCAAACGAGAGCCCGGCAGCAATGCCACATTCCGCAAGGCCAACGAGTCGGCCATGTAAGTGGTGTGCCAGTCGCTGCTCGAAGCACAGCCAACGATTGTTTTTTGTTTGCAGAAAGGTGGAGATGGCCAACTCCATCAATTCGTGGACACCGGCTGATTATGCCAGCGCCGCGGGACGTACCCTCGGCCATGCAGCGCCCAATGCCATGGATTTTATGAGTCGCCTTGACTCGAATGTTTCGGTAAGCATTCCATTCCTTCCATGCGGAAGCCATAAGCCATAGTTTTGAGTCTTGTTTTGTGTGTGTGTCTTTCAGAGCATAGACTTCAACTGCAGTGGCGCTGCTGGCAGCGGCCTGGTTAAGATCCATAAACGGGAGCGCAGCTCACCCAGCGCCAACGATTCGGTGGCCACACAAGCCACCAAAAAGCGCTACAAATTGGTGGATAATATCAAAACGGAACCCAGCAGTCAGCCAGCGGTGAAGGTGGCGCCCGAATCACGAGCAGACCTGCTGCGCGAGGTAAATCATAAAACGTTTCCCAAGCCATTGCTGTCGCTAATCCTGACTATGATCTGCTTGGCTCCTTTTTTAGCTGAGGAGTGTCATCAATCAGGAACAATTCAAGGAGTTCGGCAAGGTGCTGATTGAATATAAAAGCGGCACCTACGAGAAATTCGAGTCCCTGATGGCTGTGCTCCTGGTGGTTCTGCCTGCACCCAAAATGCGTTACCTTCTCGTAGGCATGCGTCGGTTTATAAAGAACGAGCACAAGGACGAGTTCGATGTGCGCGTGGCCAGCCTTAATTAAGCCTAAGAATTGCCAGATCATTTCGGTTCAAAACTTAAAAAATCAGAGGAGTGAGGAGTTTCATCTACTATGTCTTGTAATTTGTTTATTGTTGCTTTCGTTTTGTTTAGTGTGTTAAATTTCGTTTGGGAGCAGAAACAAATGGGATTGCTGATGCCTGTCATTGTAAAGATGGGAGTTATTCATCTCCCATGAGAACTATGGCCAAGCTGGAGGGATATTTTATGCTAAAGGTCGATAGTTTCCATCTTTATAATGGCAGCGACAGTTGGAAAATGTTTTAAAGCTCTTTTAGAACTCCATTTTTAGTTATTAATTATGTATGTGAGTTGTATTTGCTAATATTTATATTAATTCATATCTTAAGATCCCAAAGTATTCATTTTCATATTTTGTTTTGTAAAATGAATGCATATTATTGTAAGAGGAAGTGTGGTTCTGGGCTGCATGCGAATTTATTTTGATGTTTAACTAACCCATTAAAAACGCAGCATTTAAATTACAAATTACAAGTTTAATCCTCAACAATTCAAATTTAAAATAGTTTGATATGCAAAAGATAAGTTGGCAGTGCTCCTAAAGCACAGTAGAATGCAAAATGGGATTCTGATGTTATGGAAATATAAACTTAAAGTATTAAATATTAAAATTAATCTTAAATATTTTACGGTCAGAGATACATAAACAGGTTAACTGTAAATTAAATGACTCATTTTTGATTGCATCTGCAGATAAGTTGGCAGGCCCCCCGCCCCAGCACCAGTAAAATGCAGTCGCAAAAACGGAATGAGGCATCGCGCATCGCCATAGTTGTGACGGGACGGGACAGGCAGAGCGAGCGAGGAAGCAAGACCAAGACAGAGACCGATTCCGACCTAAACCGAGTTGCTACCGAGTCGATTCGAGTCGAGTCCATGGCTGTGCAGCAGCGCATTTGCGTTGGAACAATCGTCCGGGACAGTGGACTAGTGAAGGAAGCACCAGAGCAGAGCTGCTGCTGGGCATTGTCAGTGGAATAGAATTGAATTGAATTTGGGTTGGCAACAGAGTCCCAAAGGTGCAGGTCGGTCATTGATGGCGGCTGTCGTCCATCCAGAACTCCTGCAGCAGTTTTCCAACCACTTTGATTGAAAGTTTCCGTGTGCGGCATTAATTGAAAGTGGCAGGTCGGTCGGTCGGTTGTGGGTGGTTTTGGTTGCAACAAGTAACGCGCCGCACGGTTGTTGGTACGTGGCACTCCCACTCCGTGACTCTCTGCCACTCGCTGTGACCTTGGCCTGGTTCGTAAGAGGGGCAACGAGAGAGAGGGCGAGAGAGAGAGAGCACAGCAACAGCAGCAGCAGTACAGGCCACTTGGCTTAATTGCATTTGCCGTCATCGCACATGGTCGAGGAGGTCAGCTGCCTGAGACAGACTGGCAGCAGCATCGGCATTGTCGTCGCTATGCCCAGCCCAAGCGTATCGAATACAGGAAACGCAGGTGTAGCAGCAGCACCCACCACAGTGGTCCCCTCCACTGGTGGCATACATCATCAGACGCATCAGCAGCATCAGCACCAACAGCAGCAGCAGCAACAGCAACATCATCATCAACCTCATCAACCTCATCAGCCGCATCAGCAGCAGCAGCACCACCAACAGCAGCAGCAGCAGCAGCTCCATCATCATCATCAGCAGCAGCAGCAGCAATCACACCAACAGCAGCAGCAGCCACATCATCAGCTTTCCGGAAATATGAGCTTGCTGAGTGTCAAGGGCGGACGCTATTTATGGACAGATCGGGAGCTGTTGATGCATTTACAGAACTACACGCCGTTGATTCTGCTGATCGACTTTGTGGAGAAGACACGCACCAAACGCTTCTACGAGAACTCCGAACGCTACGAGATACTCATGCTGGTGTTCATCATGCGGAAGGGGGCGCCGTTCTGTGAGAATAAACGCTTTCCGGGTGAATATTGGGTGAATCTATCGGTGGGCCCAATTGCCGAGGCATTCGATCGCCTGCAGGCGGCCATCGATATACCCGATCCACAGCTGCCCATCCACATGAGTGTGACGGATCTGACCAGCTGGAAGCAGATGTTCGATGTTGCCATGATGGATATCCGACGGTTTGCCTACTATACGGACCCCCTACAGCTGGCCGATGCCGGTGTCTACAATCGGATCACATTTGAGCAGCGTTTTGCTATGCAGTGGCAGGAGTAGAATACGAGCATCCAAAGTATTAAACAAAAAAACACACATCACATAGTGGTTGAATTGTTGCGTTAATAAATATATATAAATAGATATGCATAGTGGAATTAAACAGAACTGTGCCTTCTCCCACATCACCCCCCCGTAGTACCATAGCCACACTTTGTTTCAATTCGGAATGCACAATACACACACACCCCTCTGGATATCTGGTAGTTGTCTATTGTAATCAATGCTTTAATAAACATTAAACGTTCTACTGTTGCAAATCACATGCAATTTCGCATAACCTTGGTGTCTTTGTAAATATACAAAGAAATATGTAAAATTCTTATAGATAACATTCTCATCGCATTCTCAACAAGTAATTAGTGGGGCTTGCAAAACTACTTAAATCTATGAACATTGTGTGCGGTTATGGTTATGGATTCGTTGGATGGGCAATGGGAAATGGTCTTAGGGTGGTCCCATCCCATAAACCTCTGAAATGGCGTAATTTGGGTCAGGTGTAACGCTTGGGATTGCGATCGAAGATTTGCAACAGCTTGCCACGCGTCATTTCCTTGGCCTCCATTAGGCCCAGTTGATAGATTTCATCATGCATTCTCTTGATCTTCGCTATCAATTCCTCCGGCGTCATCTTGGATAGACCTGTGCAATATATTTCCATTGTATTATTATCATTCTGTGTGGTAATACTCTTACAATAACTTACGGTTTATCTTAACCATGTCCTCGGCGGTCAGGATTCTTTGTGGCTCCGCGATGGGTGCGTACATTGGTGTATCGGACATTGTGAGGAAATCATCCATGCCTGGAACTGCGGAAAGCACATTAGAAAAGGTCGCAAAACGGAAATTCACGCAACTTACATCTCTCGGGCCATTGTACGGGCGATTCGCGGAGCGTTTCCAGCGACATGAGTTCGTCCTCCTTCAAGGGGGAGTCTTCTGGATCCACCGTTTCTTCTTTCTCTGGCTGCTGTTTCGACTCCGCACTTTCATCGTCTGTTTTTAGTATCGTTTCTAGGAGCAGCAAAGCGATTATCAGATAGGTATTTGGAGCGGCACCGCAGCTATTACCCACCTGGAGCCAGCAGTTCCATGTTCATATCGGAATTATTTAAATCCGCTTTAACGCTCATTTTGGCAGCAGCGGTTAAAAATTATTGCGTCGGGCTGGCGTCCTAGGGATGACAAAGTGGAATAAGCCCTGAGGCTGGCACCTGCGAACTATCGCACGCTCAGCTATCGTACAAGAGCTATCGACAAAAATATCTGTGTGCAGTGTTGTAAGTCTTCAAAATGTTAATGAAATGTATTTTTAGCCAACAAAGAACTTTGTTTTGCTTCCTGAAATATAACGAAAAAAAGTTTGTCAATTATTGCGCACGATTTATTAAGCTGGAAAAACCCACCCCTCTCTATGTATTGTGAACTCGCTCTGACTCATGGTTGGCCTGACAGCGCACTCTGAATCTGATATAATGTCGCACCGTTCGCGCACACTGGCCAAGAGCATGGCGCTCGAACGCACAGTGCGGTACAGAATTCAACGCACAAAATGGGCGCTGCCACCACATGTTGGCTGTGCAAATGTTAGGATAGTTGGATATATAATATCCGTTCCAATCAGCTCAAGCACACAATACTGAGTAGAGAAGGTAGGTGCCTGGGCAAAACACTGCAGTCTGTCCGAGTTCTCGCGCATGAAAATATTTGAATTGAGCCTGCTGTGCACAGACTTACGCTGCCAACTGTCAAGCGTGCGCCGCCAGACCCACTGCCCGATAGCACTTTCTTTCAGTCATAGCTTTGCTCTCGCTACACTCACCTGTTCCCCCTTTTTAACTTTAGTCCAACGTTTTTGTTAAATTTAGTTGCCGCGTCCAACTTTTGAGCAAACCGAATTGCAACAACAATAACCAGGGCCTGTTTTGCGCGCGATTTTCGAACACTTCGAATAATACCCAAATCCCATTTGACCCGTCTTAATTTTTTTTCCCCGTTGACCACCGTACAAACAGCTTCCGAGTTTGTGCGAGGCCCCCATGGCAGCTAGTAAACTCTCCTCCAAGCAGACCACACTTTTTGAGTCGAAATGTGCGAAGATCTCTGCCTTCTATTTTGACTTGGACAACACTCTGATCCCGACCAGAGCCGGCGACTCCAAAGCCATACGCAAGGTGAGTATTGTTGGGATTCGAATTGGGGGAAGGGCCAACCAAACGCCCGCCCGCCCCAACTCTGGTGCGCGCGCGGTGAGGCATCGTCTAGAAAATTTTCCACTGCTGAGTGGCGCTGGCTGTTACGTCGTCGAAGCACCCCACCCGACCCGAGACCCGGACGGATGCGCCCAAGCACGTCGCACGCGCGCACCCAAAAAAATATAATTCGTTTACTCAAGTGTGTGCAACTGTGTGCTTGCACGTGTGTGTGCGTGTGCTTGGGTACGAGTGTATTTGTGCGTTTGCCAAGGGGTGGGGGCAATGATTGCAGTTTGATCAATGCACTGATACGGCGGATTACGACTACGGTACAACGGTTAATTTCTGGTGATTAACAAGCAACGTGTGTTTGTGTTTGTTTTGTTTTATTTACAGCTCTCAGATCTACTCGAGTCGCAGTACCATTTTAGCAAAGATGATGCCTTGCTTTCCACGCAGACCTTTCTGAAATCCTTCCGCCGCTGTCCGGACAACACGCAGACCTCGCTGGACTCGTGGCGCACCCACCTGTGGCGGGAGTCGCTGCCGCCCAAGTACAAGCACTTCGCCGATGAGATCTATCCTCAGTGGTTGCGGCTGCGGTACCGCTATCTGGCCGTCCCAGCGGACTATGTGCAGCTACTGACGCGAATGCGTCGGGCCGGCTATGCCCTGGCCCTCATCACAAACGGCCCCTCGAACGCCCAGTGGGAGAAGGTGGCACGTCTGAATGTGCGCGGCTACTTTGACTGCGTGTTGGTCTCCTCGGATCTGCCCTGGGAGAAGCCGCATCCGGAGATCTTCTATGCGGCCTGCAATTTCCTCAATGTCAAGCCACACGAGTGCGCCATGATCGGCGACAAGCTGGAGACGGATATCAAGGTTGGTATTGCCTAGAAGGGCGGCCAGTGCCACTCACACTGAATATTAACGAATTATCATTTGCAGGGAGGTCATCTGGCCCAGCTCGGCCTCACGTTCTGGACGCCGCTGAGCAGCAGCAGCTCGGCGGCCCAGTCCCTGGACGATGTCGAGTACAAGCCGCACCACAAGCTCAACCAATTATTGGAGTTGTACAAATACTTTCCCCGTCTCAATGCCGTGGCACAGCCCGATGCGCCATCGACATCCAGCCGCCGCAGTAGTTACCTTAGTGGCGGTTTGACTGGTGCCAGCGCAAGCGGCAGCGGGAGCGGATGCTCGTCTAGCACGAGCAGCCAGAGGAGCCAACCGGAGAAGCGGCAGGCGGCCTATCGCCGTGGCGGATCCTTGCCGGCCATGGACTGCTCAAACAGCGAGGCGGAGAACAGTTGCGACAGCTTCCTTTAAGGGAGAACCTGACAAGCCGAGATTGAGTCTCGACGGAGGGCGGAACTGGCGCACCGCGCCTTGCCTCGCCTCGCCTCGCCTCGCCATTGGTGGCAAATGTACCTTCAGTTTACAAAACTATAGCTAAAAAGGAAATAGGAAATAGAGAGACGGCAGTCAATAATAATCATGGAAGAAACCAAACGATGGAAGATGAGAACGAAGAGTATGCATAATTAATTAATTGATGTTGATAAGAGAAGAGGACAACCAGGCACACGGGAACCGAATGCAGGAATTTAAAGTTCAACTATTAGATGGGAGGACCCGAGAACTACGGCGAATCTCGTTTATCTGCCATTAAAACTACAATTAAGGCCAGAACAGAATCAGAAATACACACTCAAAATAATACACTTAAAACCAAACAACAACAAAATAGTTACAGAAATCACAAAACAAAACAAAATACAAGAGAAGAGAAGAGAAGATAGGAGACCAGAAAGTGGGAAAAAACCAAATGTATTTTTCTAAGCAGATATTGTTCTTCCACACACAATTTTTTTGTAACTTGATAAATGCAATCAACAACAACAAAACAAAACAAAAAACAAACAAATGAAAAAACAAAATGTGAATGAGAAGCGAAACAAAAAACCAAAACAATTAAAATGGAACAAAAGCAAATAAGGAGAGAAAGTTGGTTCGACTCCAAAGAAAAGAGAAGAGAAAAGAGTAGGAGAGGGGAGAAACCGTTAGAGTAGCTATTCTAGGTACATGCGCGTATGCATGTCAATTGTTAACTATTTTAGTAGTCTTAGACACCAGATACCGTTAGAGTTTAGCCGTTGGTTCGAAATTCGAACTACAATTGAATGCACCCCCCTCTACTCATACGATCAACACACACACACGCAGCCCGCAATGCTGTGTGAATATTAATAACGGTATTCCTTGAAAGAGATTCAGAGGCACCTAACCTGGGTTGAGGGTCCCACCCAACGGCTCTGTTAATGAATTTTTGAATAAATGACGAAAATCAAAGAGAACATTTGTTATCGCTTGCACACGTGCATAATGTAAATGCTTGAACAAAAAAGTGGCAGGATGCTACATAAATAGGCATACCGCGTGCCATTTTCTTCATAAACAAATAAAATAAAAGCCAGAAATCGTGTTCGTATTAATTGCCTGCTAAGATTACGGTCTTCCAACAAAAAATTGAAAAGGTAGAATCGAATTTGAATTGCCCTTGTATTTTTTGTATGATCCCAGTCCATGAAATCTTTNTAAAACAATCAAAAAAGAATGCGCGGGTGGGTGGGGGCTTACAAAAAAAACACGCAAGCCGAGAACAAAAAGTTGCATTTTGATGGAGATTGGGCAATATGCAGATGAGACGGCGACAGCCTCCGAACAATCTCAATCTCGGCTTGAATCAAATTGCATGGAAATCAGCCTTACACAGCTTTCCGTTCACCGCCATTCGGTTTTCACAACCAGAGTGGGTGGGAGGGAGAGCGTTGGCAGGCCTTGGGCCCAATTAAGCTCACTCGGTGAATATTTTAAGTTTGGGAAAAAATTACACAATTTACATGGAACAGGCTCTCAGCGGAGAGTGGAGCGGGCAAGCAAGAAAACAGTAACTGCATATGCTCCACTACACTATCGAAAAGGTGGCGTATTGAATGGGTACTATCGATAGATGTGTGTGTGCGTGTGTGTGTCGGAGGAGCGGGAAAGTCACACCTTGGACAGACCTTTCGCTTGAAAGTATCATAAACAGTAGTTATGCTGATAAGAGAGGCCGGAGTGCCATATTACCTTATAATTATGATACCTTTACCGTAACTGCATATGCTTCACACTATCGAAAAGAAGGGTATCGCTATCGATACAAGGCTTATGTATGTTCGTGGATCTGTTTGAGTGCTTATTTGGATCTGACGAAATTAATGGCCTTTTTTTGTTTTTGCTTATTTCGGGCACATTACATTCAGGGCAGAGAACACAAGCAGCCAGTTAGCCGTGTAACACAAATGCGGCTTGTTGCTGCATTGCGGGCATTTTCATAATCAAATCACTTCTCTCCACTTTCTCACACACACCCACAACTGCGGCTCACACGCGCGCACACAAATGCAAACAATGCGTCATATTTTCTCACTAGTAACTAGTATTTTTTTTATTTGTTTAGCTCCGATTTTCGGATTTCACTCTCTCCATCTCCCACCCGTTGCGCAGAGAAGAGCCCATGCATGGGGAGCAGTTCTATGTGACGTGCATAGGTTCCTTTTCTGGACTTGTTTCAAGGGTCACCGGTAATTTCTGCTTTCTTGACGAGAACTACACTTCTCATTATCACGTTTTATTCAGCTGATTTGTATTTACCTTAAGGTATTTGTATTCAGCGTGCTATGTAACGAACAAAAAAAAGAACAACAAACAACACGAAAATTATAGTTCGATTTATCGATGATATTTTAGTAGTAACTATCGATGGCAGTGATGGTGTGACCTTTAGCGCGGAAGCAGAAAAATGCTGTTTAACACTAGTAAACTCACAACCCAACCAATTAATTTATAAAATAATTATTTGAACTAAGCATGCAGGAACATATGTTTTTCATCTTATGTAATGGGTCATTAAACCGTTTTTTTCAATGCGTACCCACTTAATACTAAATCAAAGTGCATTTTTGATATGGTGACGACACCTATACCTATACACCTCTTCAGATATATCATCTATGATATAATTTCATTTCAAAATCAATGATTATTTTAAATGATCTCTATTGTTGTTAGTTCAACTTAAATTATTTAAAAGTTACATTTTCTTGCGTCACCTTCTTAATAAATCATGCATTTCGGATCGCCAATTGCCAGTGCGACCATAGCCTCAGAAATACCAAACCTCTTGTGCTGCTAGAATTCTAGTATTTTACAGTGATGTTTTCACCACAATGTATTTTTTGACGTCATCAAGCGGCACAAAGTAAAGTAACCCGAAACCCCCAATACACAGCGACAAAACGACAATAACACGATATTATCAATTAAAACGTGCATCAAATTGCAACAAGCACGCGCCACTTGCCCACTCGCTGTCCCCTCTGCGCCACCTGCTCAGCATAACAAGATGTCAACACGTCGCCAGGTCATCACGCTGTACCGAAATTTGTTGCGGGAATCGGAAGCTGCCCGCTTACAACTTTCGGTTCGTTTGTGATGAAATTGAACTCCGAACATTGTCATATTGACACTTCGCGACACATCCCGTGCCAACAAGGCCATTCGAGACTTTGCTGAAATTGATCGTCAAATGGAGGCGGGCAAACAGCATCTGGAGCTAATACGGCGGCAGGTAAGTTGTTGGGTTGCCACTGAATGTTGACTGACGCGATCCTTATCGAATCGGGTTCTACGTCGTCAGTGTGATAAGAGCTAAAAAGGAAATAGGAAATAGAGAGACGGCAGTCAAAATTAATCATAGAAGAAACCGAACGATGGAAGATGAGAACGAAGAGTATGCATAATTAATTAATTGATGTTGATAAGAGAAGAGGACAACCAGGCACACGGGAACCGAATGCAGGAATTTAAAGTTCAACTATTAGATGGGAGGACCCGAGAACTACGGCGAATCTCGTTTATCTGCCATTAAAACTACAATTAAGGCCAGAACAGAATCAGAAATACACACTCAAAATAATACACTTAAAACCAAACAACAACAAAATAGTTACAGAAATCACAAAACAAAACAAAATACAAGAGAAGAGAAGAGAAGATAGGAGACCAGAAAGTGGGAAAAAACCAAATGTATTTTTCTAAGCAGATATTGTTCTTCCACACACCATTTTTTGTAACTTGATAAATGCAATCAACAACAACAAAACAAAACAAAAAACAAACAAATGAAAAAACAAAATGTGAATGAGAAGCGAAACAAAAAACCAAAACAATTAAAATGGAACAAAAGCAAATAAGGAGAGAAAGTTGGTTCGACTCCAAAGAAAAGAGAAGGGAAAAGAGTAGGAGAGGGGAGAAACCGTTAGAGTAGCTATTCTAGGTACATGCGCGTATGCATGTCAATTGTTAACTATTTTAGTAGTCTTAGACACCAGATACCGTTAGAGTTTAGCCGTTGGTTCGAAATTCGAACTACAATTGAATGCACCCCCCTCTACTCATACGATCAACACACACACACGCAGCCCGCAATGCTGTGTGTATATTAATAACGGTATTCCTTGAAAGAGATTCAGAGGCACCTAACCTGGGTTGAGGGTCCCACCCAACGGCTCTGTTAATGAATTTTTGAATAAATGACGAAAATCAAAGAGAAAATTTGTTATCGCTTGCACACGTGCATAATGTAAATGCTTGAACAAAAAAGTGGCAGGATGCTACATAAATAGGCATACCGCGTGCCATTTTCTTCATAAACAAATAAAATAAAAGCCAGAAATCGTGTTCGTATTAATTGCCTGCTAAGATTACGGTCTTCCAACAAAAAATTGAAAAGGTAGAATCGAATTTGAATTGCCCTTGTATTTTTTGTATGATCCCAGTCCATGAAATCTTTTTCAGGAACACGAATTGCCCCAAGCATAGCTCCTTCCCCGTACCCCTCATCATGCATCGCTCATTTCAACCTTTTTTCTGTCGCTTTATGTAACGTTACAAGGTTACACCGAGGTTAGGTAGTGGCAAAAGCAATACGCGACTCAAAGAGCGGGGAATACCGTCCCCCATCTTATAAATATTAATAAGCCATGGATTAGTTTACTCACTCCACTCCCAATACCCCAGTACACACCTGCACAAACTTCATGACACACATGTATTTGCGAGTATTTATGTATGTATGTATGTTCGCACGTACAATATGTATGAATGTATATGTGTATTTATTATCTAGGTTGCACTGTTAAACCATCAATAAAGAAAGCCCCCGAAAATACTTAGCATGAAAACGAATTCTCAACAGATATTTTATTGGGACGCCACGAAGAAGTCTGACAACTGTTCTGGCACTGTTCTATGTATGTTTCCCCGACAGCGACAGGACAGCCAGGACAGCGACAGCAGAAGATGAAGGACACTTTCTAATGTCCTTTTCGTATTGTAGCTTCATGGTGGGAGCGCTTAGGCTAGCATGTCAAAGATTCTACAGCTAAGAAAACATCATAGGCCATCCACGTACTGAATCATTCGAAATCTTGTTCAATTTTGCTTCGCATTCAAATATATCTACAAAGATCTACAATATCTTAGATTTGTACACGTAAGCGACACTCTTGCACTTGCTCCTCGAGTAAAGCTGCCAGCTGCGATGGTCTTTAATTCTTGTTAACTTTGATCTTGCAACTCCAATCTTTCGCTTGCCACTGGTTCGATCATCTTTCATCTCGCTCCCCGTACTAGCGGTTAATTGTTGTCCAATTTTTGGACCCTTGCCACTTACTCTTTTCGTTTAAGCAAAACTCCAACAAAATCATTTTCGTGTATATAGTTTTTGATTTTAATCATAGTAAAATAAGCTTTTTGATTTTTGTTGTTTTGTTTTTTGTTTTTTTTTATAAACTACAAAATACGCTATACGGTAAAATGGTATATCGCTTGCAGATTCAGCATAACCAAACCATAAATATAACCAAACAAACATTGAAATTTGCAGGCAGGACAGCAGGCAGCTAGCCTAACGTTTACGTTAACGTTTTGTTGTACACCCGTACCGTATACAGACACACAATACATACATATATTGATATAATATAATCAAAGGCGAAAGTACACAGAAAAAACGAGAAGGGACGTGTGAGACGCATTTAACGCTTTACAACTTTTATACCCGGCACTCAGTACTACATCTGCACCTTAGCGGTGTTTTGTCAAATTTTAAATTTTTTCTTCGTCTGTCATCTACATCTACAACACTTCTCACACCAACACGCTCCGTTAGCTCGCCGCCATTCCCTAGACCCACACACTGCAGACTCGAGGCAGAGGCAGAGGCACCGTCCGCACACAACACGCTTAAAAAACTGAAAACGAGACTGAGGCATACGAAAATGCTGCAGTTAAAACTTGGGATGGTGGGGAGAAGGGGCGGGGGGATGATGGGCTAGCTAGCTAGGCTTGCTCTTGGCTTTCTGCATGTTCCTTTTTTTCCTTGCTTAGTTAAGAGTTGGTTTTTTAAGTATGTTTTTTTTTTCTTTTCTTCTCAAAAAAAGAGCACTTTTCAGACTACAAATATACCCTAAGAACCTTTATCCTGGAAATGGATTATACATACACAATACATACATTAGATAAATGGACAAGGAAAGAAAACGTAAAACATAACGTAACACAACATCATGGAGTAGTTTGTTTAGTTTTTAGTTATAGTAGTAGTAGTAGTGGCTTTCGCTAGTTATAGCATTAGTTTATGCAGCGCACTGCAACTTTGTCCTTTCTTATGTGGTAAAAACAACCATCGTCTGATTTGATGGCCTCTGTCGTGCCCGTGTGTACTCCATTCTTCTCCTACTCCTACTCCTTTCTACCTATTCTTGCTCCTTACTGCTCCTCACTCTCACTCGGGGATTGGCCGTAGTAGTATGTAGCATGTTGTATGTTTTCTTGTTGCTCTGTTTGCGTTCTGTTTTTGTCTAGTTTCGTGCCGTGCCATATGTTCCATAGATCTCCTCAATCTTTTTCCTTCGCTTTGTCAGCAGTGGATTGTTCGACTTGTCCAGCGCCTTGATTTGCATCTGCCAAATAGAGAAGGAAAAGGAGGAGCATTAGTTTTAGACTCCAAGCCAGCAACAAGCTCGTCTTACCTGATCGTAGTCCACTCGCATGGTGGCCAGGGATCGGGTCATTTCCTCCTGCACCTCCGGCCAGGTCTCCTCACCCTCCTTGAGCATGCGGCCAGTGCAGAGCGGTGTCTGTGGCACAGCATTATACTGGGCAATCCACTTGTTGCGTATCACATCCTGGATGCGCAAACGCTTGCTGGGATCCACATTCAGCATGCCCTTGATCAAGTCCTTGGCCGACTGGCTAACGTTCGTCCACTCTGGATCGGGAAAATCATACTGCCCGGTGCGGATGCGCTTCTTCATGCCCGGCGAAATGGCCAAACCATTGTTGCTGTAGAACGGCGGAAAGCCGCACATAATAATGTACATGACCACTCCCAGCGACCAGATGTCGCAGCTTTTATCATATTTCTCGGGTCCCAGCACTTCGGGAGCTAAGCCACACATTGAAATTTGGTAGAGTTTAAGCTGAGCAGAGCAGAGCAAGGCATTAAAGCATTCAATCACTTACCAACATAGTACGGCGTGTAGCAGGGCGTCTGGAGGGTGTCGTTGGTGAAGGTCTCTTTGGCAAAGCCAAAGTCTGTCAGTTTCAGGATCGCATTTGGCTGGGATGTGGTGTAGAGCAAGTTCTCGGGCTTAAGATCGCGATGCGCGATATCGCGACTATGCAGATAGTCTATCGCCGCACAGATCTCGTGCATTATCTGTGCCGCCTCGCGTTCCGTGAACGCCCCATCGGCCTTGTCCTGGATGCGCTGGAAGAGCTCGCCGCCCTCCATGCACTCCATCACAACCAGCAGGCACTTGCGGCCGCTGTACGTATTCTCGTAGACATCGATTATGTTGACGATGTGCTTGCAGCCGCTGACACGCCAATGCAGATCGACCTCGCGCCGGGCCTTCTCATTGTCCAGCAGCACCTTAAGGGCGTAGTTCTGTTTGGTGCGCCGATTGGTGCACTGCACCACCTTGCCGTTGATGCCCAGGCCTAGCACAGTGTCCGAGATTTCATAGTCGTCCACCAGGGCGCTTGTTTTCGGTTGCCGTTGATTCTGCAGCGAAAGCATTCTGATTGGGTCTGATCTCTGACTGAAGGTTGGACAGAAAAAAAACAGAAACAGAAAAAATATTAATAAAATGGCTGCAGCTCCGACCGCCCACGCTCCATTTAGAAACGGTTTTTCACACAGCCCCCACGTCCGGAAAAGGTACAAGATAACACCGCAGCCGCAGCGACAACGTACGTAGCGTAGCGATAAAACAATCAAAAAAGAATGCGCGGGTGGGTGGGGGCTTACAAAAAAAACACGCAAGCCGAGAACAAAAAGTTGCATTTTGATGGAGATTGGGCAATATGCAGATGAGACGGCGACAGCCTCCGAACAATCTCAATCTCGGCTTGAATCAAATTGCATGGAAATCAGCCTTACACAGCTTTCCGTTCACCGCCATTCGGTTTTCACAACCAGAGTGGGTGGGAGGGAGAGCGTTGGCAGGCCTCGGGCCCAATTAGGCTCCCTCGGTGAATATTTTAAGTTTGGGAAAAAATTACACAATTTACATGGAACAGGCTCTCAGCGGAGAGTGGAGCGGGCAAGCAAGAAAACAGTAACTGCATATGCTCCACTACACTATCGAAAAGGTGGCGTATTGAATGGGTACTATCGATAGATGTGTGTGTGCGTGTGTGTGTCGGAGGAGCGGGAAAGTCACACCTTGGACAGACCTTTCGCTTGAAAGTATCATAAACAGTAGTTATGCTGATAAGAGAGGCCGGAGTGCCATATTACCTTANGAGATTTCATAGTCGTCCACCAGGGCGCTTGTTTTCGGTTGCCGTTGATTCTGCAGCGAAAGCATTCTGATTGGGTCTGATCTCTGACTGAAGGTTGGACAGAAAAAAAACAGAAACAGAAAAAATATTAATAAAATGGCTGCAGCTCCGACCGCCCACGCTCCATTTAGAAACGGTTTTTCACACAGCCCCCACGTCCGGAAAAGGTACAAGATAACACCGCAGCCGCAGCGACAACGTACGTAGCGTAGCGATAAAACAATCAAAAAAGAATGCGCGGGTGGGTGGGGGCTTACAAAAAAAACACGCAAGCCGAGAACAAAAAGTTGCATTTTGATGGAGATTGGGCAATATGCAGATGAGACGGCGACAGCCTCCGAACAATCTCAATCTCGGCTTGAATCAAATTGCATGGAAATCAGCCTTACACAGCTTTCCGTTCACCGCCATTCGGTTTTCACAACCAGAGTGGGTGGGAGGGAGAGCGTTGGCAGGCCTCGGGCCCAATTAGGCTCCCTCGGTGAATATTTTAAGTTTGGGAAAAAATTACACAATTTACATGGAACAGGCTCTCAGCGGAGAGTGGAGCGGGCAAGCAAGAAAACAGTAACTGCATATGCTCCACTACACTATCGAAAAGGTGGCGTATTGAATGGGTACTATCGATAGATGTGTGTGTGGGCGTGTGTGTCGGAGGAGCGGGAAAGTCACACCTTGGACAGACCTTTCGCTTGAAAGTATCATAAACAGCAGTTATGCTGATAAGAGAGGCCGGAGAGCCATATTACCTTATAATTATGATACCTTTACCGTAACTGCATATGCTTCACACTATCGAAAAGACGGGTATCGCTATCGATACAAGGCGTATGTATGTTCTTGGAGCTGTGTGAGTGCTTATTTGGATCTGACGAAATTAATGGCCTTTTTTGTTTTTGCTTATTTCGGGCACATTACATTCGGGCAGAGAACACAAGCAGCCAGTTAGCCGTGTAACACAAATGCGGCTTGTTGCTGCATTGCGGGCATTTTCATAATCAAATCACTTTTCTCTCCACTTTCTCACACACACCCATAAACGCGGCTCACACGCGCGCACACAAATGCAAACAATGCGTCATATTTTCTCACTAGTAACTAGTATTTTTTTTATTTGTTTAGCTCCGATTTTCGGATTTCACTCTCTCCATCTCCCACCCGTTGCGCACAGAAGAGCCCATGCATGGGGAGCAGTTCTATGTGACGTGCATAGGTTCCTTTTCTGGACTTGTTTCAAGGGTCACCGGTAATTTCTGCTTTCTTGACGAGAACTACACTTCTCATTATCACGTTTTATTCAGCTGATTTGTATTTACCTTAAGGTATTTGTATTCAGCGTGCTATGTAACGAACAAAAAAAAGAACAACAAACAACACGAAAATTATAGTTCGATTTATCGATGATATTTTAGTGGTAACTATCGATGGCAGTGATGGTGTGACCTTTAGCGCGGAAGCAGAAAAATGCTGTTTAACACTAGTAAACTCACAACCCAACCAATTAATTTATAAAATAATTATTTGAACTAAGCATGCAGGAACATATGTTTTTCATCTTATGTAATGGGTCATTAAACCGGTTTTTTCAATGCGTACCCACTTAATACTAAATCAAAGTGCATTTTTGATATGGTGACGACACCTATACCTATACACCTCTTCAGATATATCATCTATGATATAATTTCATTTCAAAATCAATGATTATTTTAAATGATCTCTATTGTTGTTAGTTCAACTTAAATTATTTAAAAGTTACATTTTCTTGCGTCACCTTCCTAATTAATCATGCATTTAGGATCGCCAATTGCCAGTGCGACCATAGCTTCAGAAATACCAAACCTCTTGTGCTGCTAGAATTCTAGTATTTTAAAGTGATGTTTTCACCACAATGTATTTTTTTATGTCATCAAGCGGCACAAAGTAAAGTAACCCGAAACCCCCCATACACAGCGACAAAACGACAATAACACGATATTATCAATTAAAACGTGCATCAAATTGCAACAAGCACGTGCCACTTGCCCACTCACTGTCCCCTCTGCGCCACCTGCTCAGCATAACAAGATGTCAACACGTCGCCAGGCCATCACGCTGTACCGGAATTTGTTGCGGGAATCGGAAAAGCTGCCCGCTTACAACTTTCGGTTCGTTTGTGATGAAATTGAACACCGAACATTGTCATCTTGACACCCCATTTCCCAAACCATCCACAGAATGTACGCTGCTCGCAAGATACGCGACACATTCCGCGCCAACAAGGCCATTCGAGACTTTGCTGAAATCGATCGTCAAATGGAGGCGGGCAAACAGAATCTGGAGCTGATACGGCGGCAGGTAAGTTGTTGGGTTGCCACTGAATGTTGACTGACGCGATCCTTATCGTATCGGGTTCTACGTCGTCAGTGTGATAAGAGTTTCTATCGGTTTGTTAACCTCTTCCATGACGCTTGTAGGTCATCATCGGCCACCTATACACGGCGGACAAGCTGGTGATCGAGAACAAGAAGACACTCAGCCCCCTGGATGATTGAGGATGCCGGATGCCGCATTGCTGCTTGTACAAAAGCCCTGCCCTGCTCGCAGATAAATAATATGTATATTTACAACTCGAAAGACTCGTTACACACAATTCTAGTTGGATAAAGCTTTTTGCCCATTGTTGATCTTATGGAAGTCAAGTTACATATATAGGCCTTATTTTTGAACCACCAGTGAAGTGAAGGAATCGCTATCGTTTGCTAGCAACAAAAAAAACACCAATTTAATATTATGTTTAAAAACAATATGAAATTATATATACATACATACATATATATATATGGTAACGTTATAAATAGGTACTGCTACCCTATAAAAAAAAACAATTGTAAACTTTTGTTACAGCCCCCCAACGGAGGGACATCCAACTATTTACCTTATGACATGGAATGTGTGTTGTGTTGTCTGTGTGTGTGCGTGTGTGTGTGTGTGTGTGTCTGTTTGTGTGTGAGAGGGGTACCACAGCCTATGCCTGGTATGTGCTGGCGGAGACATTGCCGCCAGTGCCCGTCCAGTTGGTGTGATGGAACTTGCCCTCGTCGCCGAGCAGCTCGTAGGTGTGAGCGCCAAAGTAGTCGCGCTGCGCCTGCAGCAGATTGGCCGGCAGCTTGGCGGTGCGATAGCCATCGTAGAAGCTCAGGGCGGTGGAGAGCGCTGGCACGGGTATGCCCCAGCGGAAGGCATTGGCCACCACCTCGCGCCACGAGTCCTGTCCCCGCTCAATGGCCTTCTTGAAGAAGTCGTCCAGCAGCAGGTTGGACAGCTGCGGCTGCGATGTGTAGGCGTCCTTGATATTGCCCAGAAAGACGCTGCGTATGATGCAGCCGCCGCGCCACATCAGTGCAATGCCGCCGTAGTTCAGCCGCCAATTGTTCTCCTTGGCCGCCTCGCGCATCAGCATGAATCCCTGTGCGTAGCTAACAATCTTGGCACAGTACAGGGCGTGCTTGATGTCGTCCAGGAACTTGGTCACATTCGCCACGCTCGGCTTCGCTGAGGGGCCCTTGAGCAAGCCGCTGGCATGGACGCGCTCCTGCTTGAGGGCGGACAGGCAGCGGGAGAAGACTGCCTCACCGATGAGCGTCACGGGAACGCCGTACTGCAGGGCGGCGATGGCCGTCCACTTGCCCGTACCCTTCTGGCCGGCCGTATCACGAATCCGCTCCAGCAGATGCCCCTTGCTGTCCTTGTACTTGAGAATGTCGCGAGTGATCTCGATGAGGAAAGAGTCCAGCTCGGCCGAGTTCCACTTGCCGAACTCATCGGCCATCTGGGTGGCGGACAGACCCAGGCTCTGCATTATGTGGTAGGCCTCACAGATCAGCTGCATGTCTCCGTACTCGATGCCATTGTGCACCATCTTGACGAAGTGTCCAGCGCCCCCGTCGCCGACCCATTCACAGCAGGGCTCGCCATCGGCCTTGGCGCAGATGGCCTGGAAGATGGGCTTGATCAGGGGCCAGGCAGCCTCATGGCCGCCGGGCATTAAGCTGGGTCCATGCCGGGCACCCTCCTCACCACCGCTAACGCCGGAGCCCACAAAGAGCAGGCCCAGCTTCTCCAGCTCGTCGCAGCGACGCGACGTGTCCTGGTACTCTGAGTTGCCGCCATCAATGATCACATCGCCGCGGGAGAGCAGCGGCACCAGTTGCTCAATGAAGTCGTCGACGGCACTGCCGGCTGAAACGTCGATTGGAAAAGCATAGAGCGCGATTAGACAAGGTTAATTGGTTGTTCTGCCGATTTAGAAAGTCACGCCAGCCAGTCCGAAGCATGGCTAACCTTGGCTTGAGGTCACCCCCAAGTCGTCCCTTGCCAAGCACTTCTCCAGCCCCAGATAAGGCCAGCAAGTATTTATGATAGCATTTCGTCTATCTATCTATCTAGGGGTCGTTTTTCGGTTTCTACATATATAACAAAAATGAATCACTGGCAGAGCCATTTGGTGTTGGAACGATGGTTAAAGATTGTTTTGTGCGAGGAAATCCCCCTACCACATTGTCACAGCGGTCGCCTCGCATGTATGACCTATAATGAATGTCAGAGAATTTCGGTAGGTAGCAGAGATAAGCCGGTCACGCAAATTAACATGCGAGAATAGAAATTTGCATGCGTGTACGCGTGTGTGTGTGTGCATTAGAGATGAGCACCACCTGCGCTGAGTAACAGTGAAAGTCACTGAATGTGACTTGAAGATATTCCATGTGACCATGTGTGGGTGAAAGTGATTGCAACCGGAAGCTATTATGTCTATCAGATCCGCCTTTCAAGGTATGTTTGTAGTGATTTACTCATATTTTGGAATGCATATGCATACGAAAGTGCACAGGTGCACAAATCACAGCTCAATAAGAGCTCACTGAGCATCACTGAATTGAAAGCAACAACAACAAACTTTGTATCGTTGAATGCGATAGCTTGCTGAGCAGATCATCACTTTTTTCTCACTCTCCATTTCATACACTCATATCCCGTACAGCAAAATGCACCGTGCTTGCAAACAAAAAAACAAGCAGCAACAATAAAGCGATTAATGACATTGCTTTGACTTCCACTCACACACACACACACACACACGTAGTAACACACGCGCACTGGCAGAGGTGGTAGGGTGCAAACGCGATCGCTTCACGACACGCCACTCCAGCGAAAACCACACTTAAACCGCTTACAATAAGCAGGTTTTAAAGCCAAAAATATCGAACTTAACAAAAATTGAAATCGTATAGATGGAGATTGTGCTGTGCTGACTTACCCTTGACCAACAGCATAATTTTGCGCGGCGTTTTCAGTTTCGCCACCATGTCCTTCAGTGAATCAGCGCCTATCACATTTGTGCCTTTGGCCTCGTTGGCGAGAAAGTCTTTGACCTTGGCCACCGTGCGGTTGTAGGCGCACACCACAAACCCCTTCTCGTCCATGTTCAATATGAGATTCTGGCCCATCACGGCCAGCCCAATGAGTGCAATGTCAGCTTTTCTGAGGAACCAAAAGAGGGGAAATGCACCCAAATGCAGGCGCAAGCAAAGGGTGTCATGTTATTTGCATTCACTTTCTTCGTTCAGTTAGTTTAGCTTACCCGCTCATCTTGTTGTCGCTTATTCCTTTTTTGTCAAACAAAAATGTGTTTCGTACGAAAGCAAATTTGATTTGATTTTGATTCCTCTCTCTCTGATGTTTTTTGCACCGCTACTGTGGAATGTTTTTTGACGATCGGTCTGCCACTTGGCGTTGCCACTCTACATGTGGACTTGGAGCTTTTACCGGTTGGGCCATTTATACCAGCTGATTGAAGCCCATCAAATATATCGATATTTCTTCAGATTCCAAATTACTTTGATATTTTAAGTAAAGCAATATGACATCGATATGACCATCCCTAGCTGTTCAATAAAAGCTCGAGTGGGAGTTGGATGCGTGATTGTGTTTGGGGTATGGACAAAAAACTCAATACCAAACAGCTCACTCACCCCACCTTGAGCCGCCCTCTGTCTTCTGCTGTGTCTTGATCACGCATGCTAAAGCTCCGTTTCTCTCTCTCTCTGTTTCTCTTTTTCTCATGAACTTCACCCTTGACCGACCGTTAAAGCTGTCTGTTTGAATTACGCTCATGGGAGCGTTTAGACGCTGAATTACTGTGTAATTATTTACCATGGCCTATTTAAAGCAACGGATTACAAAATAAAATTAACAGAAAAAAAATAGGCAGCACAAAAAAAAAAAAGAACTTTTGGAGATGGATGAGATGGTGGGTATCCTTATATATTTGATCTATCACTGAGCATGATCCGCCCTCTTCAGTTGAGAACCTTGTAGGGATTAAGGATGCCATTGGGGTCAAGGAGCTTCTTCATGTCGCGCATCCAGTCGATGGCCACCGAATTCTTCGAGTAATGCAGATAGTCCTTCTTGAGGAAGCCAATGCCATGCTCGGCACTAATGCTGCCCTTCAGCTTGGAGGTGTACTCGTACACGAATGGCTCGACACGCTTGTAGATCTCATCGTTGAACTCATCGCAAGAGACATTAAGATGCAGGTTGGAGTCACCCAGGTGGCCGTAGCCGCAGACAATGGTGGCCAGGGAGCCGCAACGTTCCCTCATGACGTCCACAATGCTATAGAAATCGCGCAGCGGCAACGAGATGTCGTACTTGAAGCAGAAGCTCTTCTCAATGAGGCCCAGGGGCACCATTTCGCGTATCTTCCAGATCTCCTGCACCTTCCCTGGATCGCCGGTGACAGTACCATCCTGGATTTCGCCCCTCTCCATACCGTCGCCGATGAACTGATTGATCTTCTCCTCATCATGGTCGCCGTTGCTGCCCGAGGTCTCGATCAGCATGTAGAAGGGAAAGCCCGAGATGGGGGCGCTGTCAAGCAGAAGGAATACAAATAATGGAAGATCGTGGCCGGAGATTGGATCTTCTCCACTTACTTGAGAAACTTGAACTGCTGCAGAGCTGTGTTCAGGGCCCGCTCGTCTATCAGCTCGCAAGAGCTGAGAATCTCGCCAAGATTGCGCTTGGCGCTGACGAATGTCTTGAGGACGTCGTCGAACGAGTTGAGGCCGATGAAGGCCACGTTGACAGCCTTCGAGGAGTGCGGACACAGCATCGAGAGCTTCGTGATCACTCCCAGTGTGCCCTCGGAGCCAATGAACAGATGCTTCATGTGGTATCCCGTGTTGTCCTTCTTGAAGTTGGACATCAGATCGAGCACCTGCCCGTTGGCCAGCACCGCCTCCACGCCCAGCACAGACCCGTGCAGATTGCCGTAACGCACCACGCGCACTCCGCCCGCATTCGTCGACACATTGCCACCGATGTGGCAGCTGGCCTTGGCACCCAGATCCAGCGGCACCGTCAGACCCACATCCCTCGCCCGCTGGTCAAAGTTCTCCAGAATGCAGCCCGACTCAACGATCGCAATGCCCGTTACCTCGTCCACGGACAGCACCTTGTTCAGCCGCTGCAGCGACAGCACAATCTCATCGCAAATGGGCACCGATCCGCCCACCAGACCCGTGTTGCCACCCTGTGGCACCACGGCCAGCTTCCGCTCGTTGCAGTAGCGCATAATGGCGGCCACTTCCTCAGTGTTGCCGGGCTTCAGGACCAGCTTGCTGTTGCCTGTAAGCGACAAATCAGACAATCAAGAAGAATTTCCTTTCGTTTTGGCAAAAATCATTTGTCGCAGAGAACTGTGCTCTGGGCAGGGAAAACATTATCATACCACGTATCCGCTTGAGGAAGCAAATGTTATATCCCTCTAGGTCTTCGGTGAGGACATGATTCGTGCCCAGCAGCTTCTCAAAGTGTGCCACATCAGCGTCGTTCAGTGTCGCATAGTTGCCACGTTGCACATTGTCCGTGATCTGACAGCACCATTAAAGATATTCAAGTTTCATTTTGTGCACAACTGTACGGCAGGAGGAGTGGACAGCCAGCTGTGGAAAATGATGGTGGTGCTGGTGGTGGCATGCAACAACCACCATTTGTGATGGTACAGAGCGATGCCACGCCCACATTGCAACCACCACAGCCACCACCATTCACAGGGCAAGGCAACCAAAACTCACCGCACTACGAATACTCGAAATTGCCTACCTGTGTGAGTTCCGGTATCGCTGCCCCGCTGCCCGCCATTGTCCTCACACTCAGGGACGTGCCCATCGTGCTGTGGTGTGTCGTCTGTTTGGGCGCCCGCATCAGGGTGGCGCTGGCGCTGGCGCTGGTCGCCAATCTGCGCATTTGCAAGAGCCGCTGGAAGCGCATGTTGAATGGGGATAGGGAAGGGGGTGCAACAAACTAGCTTTATCCTTTCTTTATTATGTTTCCTTTCGGTCTGAGAGGCTGCAATAAAAGAAATCAAATGATAAGAACGGAAACCAGTCAGACGTTGCCTCAGACTTAAGCACCTTCCAATCCACTTCACAATGCCGCTCGTATCGCACTGATAGCCCCCCAACACAGAAAGAGAGAGAGAGAGAGAGAGAGAGAGAGCTCATCAAGAACTTTTCCACTGCCCAGAGGGACCCGGGCACGCTCCATCACAGTGATAGTGGTGGGACCACCTACCACTATCACCACGGACTGCTATCAGTTCCCCCCCGCTCGCACCACTTGTGACGTCAGTAGAGCGTGCATAAAAATTAGCATATTTATTTTGGGACACACACACACAAACACACACCACTAAAGAAAAAGCAAACAACGGTACACACGGATGAACGGATGTGTGTCTGGTCTGGTCACGGTTTGGGTCGAAAAGTGCAGCGCCCGGAGTCAAAATCTTTATGATTTCGCTTCCAAGTAAAAGGTAACACCCGAATGGTGATCATAAACCCATTTAGAGAATCCATTCTACCTGGATGCCCGAAACGGATCTCAGATCTGTCTGCATTGGTCATGGGGATTAGGAGAACCAATTGTTGTGCGGATTTGCAATTGTCGCGAAAAGTACAGTGAATATTGGCAACAACAACAAGAACTAGCACTATCACTGCAAATTCGAAACAATCGTTTACAAAATATATTGATATAACGGTTAAAAATTCGAATTTCCTCACGAAATTGATTACATCCCCAGCCCTGGCATTACCGCAAGTTTTTTTTGCATTACATTTGTTTGTTTGTTTACTTCACCTGCTACTTCCCACTCATGCGTGTGTGTATTTGTGTGTGTTTATTGAATCAAACAATTCTGCGTCTTGGTATGGGTGCACGCGTGTGCGAGACCGAGAGTGTACCAAAATCCCCGTCTCACGGTTGGATGATAAGCGAGAGAGATGGCTGGTGGCTGGCTTATCTGCACAGAAACTACGTATGTGAAACCGGTTGTAAAACAAACAAACACAAGCGTTCGTTCATCAATTCAATGCCATTTCTTATCGCGCAGAGGTAAAATACATATGTAAATGTACACACAAATAAATCCACACTAGTGGCTACGGGCCCTTTATGGTGGCAGTACCATAAAATTGGATGAAATTGGTATAAATACCATTGAGATAGATATGTACCATAAACGGTGGCCCCTATACAGGAGAGCTACACGCGCCAATCATCCACCCACAGAAAAATCTCTCACTCTTTTTTTATACTCTCTATCTCTCTGGCGGTCTCTCTCTCGAAAGTAAACCACATTTCTTGTTGTTTTTCACACATACGATTTGTATTTGTATTAAGACAGACTAGTGAAATCCTTGCCAAATATCCATATGTATACTTGGTTCAACTTGCGAGTGCAATGAAGCAAAGTGTCTGAGTAATCACAACCAACTAAAACTAAACACACCGACTAAGTATTCGTCAACGTATACCATATGATCGCACGCGCGCGCTCTTATTGTGCGTCAGCCCTGGAATTGAAGTATATTTAGGTATATTTAAGTATTTAAAGACGAATTCAGCCCTGGTTTTCTCTCTTGAGCCAATTTCTCTTTTTTTCTCTCTGCCTATCAATAATCTATCTCTCTCTCTCTTTGTCTTCTGCGTGAAACGAGCTAGCTTTCAAAAGAGAAAAATGGAAAATATATGTACAGTGTAAATGTTTAATTAATGTAAACAATTAAAGCATGTGTACATTTATTTTGTTTCGTCATATATGTATATTTGTGTTTAAATTGTTTGAAAAATAAATAGTTATGTATTTAAATATTAAAAATCGACGCCTTTGACGTGGCAGTTTGTTGTTCTTTGGCTATGATTGTCTTGTTTAGATCCCAATTGTATCATTCTTCTTTACTGTTGCTCTAGCAATGTGTGAGTCGCTTGGCTTACAAGCAATTATTAACATGTTTGTACACTTAATCGGAGCGACTAACCGCTTTTGCAGAACTCACTTAACCACACCTGCTACCTCTAATAATAATAAACACTCACACGTACAAATTTTAAAGACAGCTAAAGGGTTGGGTTGACCACAATTTGCTGAGCATTTTTTACACCTACATATGTAGGATTTAACTTAAATTTGTCTAGTGCTGCATTCGTTAATGATTCCAAAGCACGTTGCTTGCCCAAATTATAGAAGGAATAATGCATAATTAAACACATGTAACATGAATTTATGTGTGAAAATAAAAATTTTCCTTGTCAAAAGTCCAGCTCCAGCCTCTTTTTCGTTTGTTTCTCTTCATGAGTCTAAGCACCCCATTTATTCGTATTATAAACTGTTATAAAATATGAACTCACCACACGACTGGGCCACGCCCATCACGGCCACATAAACAAAATGCAAAAGATCCGAAAGAGAGAGATAGAGACATTGTGTGGTTCGGCTTCACTTCTGTTATCCTTGTCTGGCGCACAGAAACATTCGACACTCCCACCCCAGGCCTCTCCCTCCCACAAACATACAAGCATACATATGTACAGCAACGTACCGACGGCATTTTGTGAAGGAAGTTGAAAAGGGGCACGGCACGGCACGGGCACTGTCTAAGAATTTGTTGAGGCCGAAACAAAATGGAGAACGTTAATCAGTTAATGCCTACGAGCAGAAAGGTGTACCCATCCATGACAAAATAGGAGGAAAAGACCCTCCCCAGATAATAAAAGCAACAAATTAATTGGCTGCACACATTTTAATTGTGTATTTATGAAAGTTGTGTTTAATGTTCTTCAGTTTCTCAGTGTACGTGTACGTTGATTGTCATTGTTCATTGTTTATTTTAGTGTTTGGGGCGGGGATTGCTATTAGCAATAACACCTAACCAGCCAGTCAATGCAAATTCTTTGTTTTTATGTGGCGTGTAGAGAGTGTTGAGGGTCGCTTGTTAGGTGTATCTGGTTTACTTATTTTTGCTACAGTTAATGTATAGCTTGGGCTTGGAGTAGACGCGAATCTCCTCGTCTACAACAGCCAGCTCCTTGTCAATTTCCGCCTTGCGGTTGCGCACCCACAGACTCTGCGAGGTGATGGGCATGCGATTTATTTCACTAATGAGGCCATCATAGCGCTTCTGTGCGGTGTTTAGGTGGCCAACACGAGCCTGCTCCGCGAGCATACAGTCTGGATCACTTGCGTTGGCCAACTCCTGGGCAGCGGCCTTATCGCGCTTCTCCTTATCCTTTTCAAGAAAGCGAGGAATACGCACATCTTCGCGTGCTGAACAGGGGACAAAAAGACAAAGTTTGATTAGTGATAAGTGGGGAGCATACAAAGTACTCACAATATGCAGTTTTCTGATCCTCAATCATGTGGTGGGAAATGTGCTGGGGTTGCTGTTCCTCGTAGTACTTATCGTACTTATTGGGCGACTCGCGCTCACCCATCATGGAAGCCCCATCAAAATGGCACCTAAAAGAGCACAAAATCATTGAAAATCGAATCCAAATCTATTACTACTGATATTACTTACTTTTTGAGTGCATTTGTGAGGTAGAGTTCGTCGTTGATGTCTTCCGTTTGAGTGGCAATGTTTTTGGCACTGTTGCGGCGTGTGTAGCACGAATTGCAGTCCCGCGACTGTGCTGCCTCCTCCGAGCGGTCGTAATACACCGGAGCGCGCTTTTCCGGGCGGCCAACACGTTGGCCAGATTCTGCAGCACCCACACCCAATTGTTGATGCGAACACGAGTTGAGGCGGTTACGCATTAGACTGCTCTCACGGGGAGTTTGCTGGGGTTGTGCTTGGGGTCTGCCACCTTTCGAATCGCTTATCTCGGTGGCGGCACGGCGCATCGGTGGCATCCACTTGGGACGCACTGGCTCTCTGGCTGCCAGCTTTTCCGTTGTTGTCTGCTCCAGTGAGCGAAGACTCTTTTTATTTTCGCTGAGAAAATTGCGTCCCGGATTAGATGGCGCCACTGGAAAAATACCCGACATTGTGGACTTGAGGCGATTTTGCGCGTTTGTCATAATCCCGACGACTATTTAGAAACCGCCGAGTACGGAACGGCAATAATTATTAGTGTTATTAATAATTTTGTTTGTTTGTTGTTCACTGCGAGCTGCGTCGAACTGAATGATTTTCGTTGACAAACTAAACTAGCAAACTGTGCTCGAATATCAAGGCACACTTCGATCAGGGAATTTTTGGTTTGAGTTTGATTTAAATTGGAACATTCCACTCAGATTTTCGATCGTACTCACCGCTCTTTATGGCATGGACTCCATTCACTCAGGTTAAAACTTTCTTTCCTGTAATCAAGCGCCTGTGGGTCACAACAGGAAATAATGCAAAATTTGTACATAATCAATTTTCAAAAGATTTATTGGTATTGTGTGTTTCTGTAAAAGTTTAACAGACCTTAAAGGGGATGTTAATTGTTCATGACATGCAAATTTCTATGCATTCGATGCAACTACACCTAAAAACAGATGTAGATATGTACTATGTGCATAACATTCGATTAATATCAGACTAAAGTTTAGTCACTAAACCAACATGGCAGAAATTGGGAATCAAAGGAATCTTCTTTCTTGTTGAGTAATATTAAATTTAGGGTAGAACAAGGAGCGGGATCAGGTGCCACATAAGTAGAGAACAGTAGAGAACTGTTGAACAATGAGGGGCAAAAATTAATTTGAGATTGAAGAAACAATTAGATATGTACATGTTTACGTACATACATACTTATGTACACAGATAGGACAAATAGAAACTTAGATGGAAGATTAAAGATGCTAAAACCAGAAACGGTTCCAGATAGGTCAGAGATTCCACGGTGCAGATGTTTTTTTTTACACGATGTATCTACATACATATGTAGTATGAACATGTATGAACATATGTAGATATGTACATATGTACTACAAAAATCATAGGGTTAGTCCCCATGTCAGGCACCCTTAAAGGGCTTAGGGGTTGTTGCAATACGATGCAATATCCCGGGTTTTTCGGGATAGTTTCCCTTTAAAGGGTAAATGTCGCATGTTTGCTTGGGAAAACGCTTTGATTGCATTGCCTAAAATGGTGGCAAAGGGTGTGGGGTGTGTGTGTGCTTGTGCTTAGGGTTACGCCGTCAGGTCAAGTGTCAGAGTTCAACTCTTTTTTCCCGCATTATTCCTTCATCATTTGTCCCAAGTTGTTTGGGTACAGTTCGTGCCATTTTAATCGGTCTACCAGCTGTGGGCTATAGAAAATTACGAGTGCTTTTCCCTTGGGGGAATTAAAATGAATAATTACCTCAAATGTACACCTGGAAAGGTTTTATCCATGAATAATTCGTAACTTCTCAAATATTGATGAAAGCATCGTGAAAGCATATCCCCAAATATGTACTCAAAACTCAAGAAATCATATAGAGGGGATCTATCTAGAAGAAATGTTTTCTCCACATAGGCTAATGAAGACTAATGTGAAGAGGGGGTCTTATCGGGTCCTCTGGGCTTCAGACTGAGGCAGGGTTGCAATAGTCGGGCCTTCACTGCAGAGGTAACCAACAACAAAGGACTCTGACATGGAAATCGGGTGTGTTCCGTGTCCCGTAAAAGGACTGTAGATAAGTGTCAGGGTCCCTGGGGAGGGCTACAAATGAGAGCTTCGGGCATAGGGGGACAGAACATCGGAACAAAAGAGAAGTACAGAAGAGTACCTTTCGGTTTTAGGGGGTGATATCTGATCTACGATCCATTGTCAATACCTGGCCACGCCTCACAGTTATAAAACTGCTGTTTCGCTGCCTCAGTCGCAGTCGCCGACGCTCTCAGACGTCGTCTGACGGAATTTTATGCAATCAGTTCAAGGTTCTTCATTTGGAAAATGGTGTAAAAAAACGACAGGTACCAGCGCGTATGTGTGTCTAATTCAACTATCACCAGTGGGACAGAGACAGTGAGGTTGTAATGCCAGGCAGGGAGCGAGAGCGAGAGGGAAGTATAGGTGCGAGCAAAGCACGCGCAAGGCAATTTACACTCATTATACATTTGTCATTTTACGAAATGCAAAGAGCAGACACACACACAAGTAGATAAATGTCCACACACATGTATAGGACGCAGCGCACAATCGTTCGCTCGCTCGCTCGCTCACACTTCGACGGCAGCGACCCCCCAATAACAAAACCCAACAACAATTGTGCCCCCAACGAGTCTGTGGCAATTAATTTAAGCGAAAAGAAAAGAAGAGAAGACGAGCGGAAGAGACGTAGAGCGCATGCTCGGGTCGGGTCGGTCTGCTTTTTGTACAGTTGAACGTGCCAGAGTGAAAAAGAAGCAAAGAAGACACACAACTAATAAGAAAAAACACGAGCGAAAGCAATTTCAAGTGGAGCCCAAAAAGAAGAAACCACACACACACACGACAGTCGTTTGGCAAAGCTGAGAGCGAGAGAGCATTAATGCAAATATATCAGAGGGGGAGTGGGGAGGCGGCAGCGGAACCTAGCAAGCGTAAAAATAATATGGCGGCGGCTGAGAATCGGAAAAAAAGCAACGGTCCCATCAACATCAGCCAACGCGTCACTGCCCGCGACAACAAAAGCATAAGCAACAGCAAAAGCAAAAACAACAACATCGGCAATCATCGACGGAAAACGATGAATGCTTGTGGAGCAATGCGAATGGAGGGGGGAAAGACACAAGCCCACAGCAAAGCATGCATACAAATACACAAATACACACGGCATACAAAGAGGTTACAAAATGAAAAATGGAATGCCAAAGACAGGCACAGTGGGACACGGGAAGTTGGCACGGAGTAAAGAATATTAATGTACCATGATTCCTGCATATGATTCAGCA